TGCAGATTTCTAGTTTCCATAGCAGCAAATCTACTGCTTGTGCTTAATAAGTGAAAACTAGAGCAAGCAATTGCTACTTGCCTCTTTTTTTTTTTAAAAAAAAAGACCTAGGTCTCTATATTATTTTTAAGAGCAAAAATGCTAGGCCTAGGGTGAAAACTTCCTCTTCTCTCCGAAAAAAAAAATCTGTTAAATGAACCTGGCCTCATCCAGAGGAAGTGATAGACCGTATTAGTAGGCTGGGAGCTTGGTGTTTAATCCTGTTTTCCTAATTAAATGGTAAATGGCTTTTTATAAGCTATAGTCAAAGAGGTTAGGTTTCTCTCCTCTAGGGTTATGACGATGAGCAGTTTGTTTGGGGTTTACAGTAATGAATATTTTGATTGTTTGCTGATGAGTTGGCGTTTGGATTGCCTGGCACAGAGCCCAGTACCTGTTACAATTGGTTTTAGTCTTTTAACAGAAATGACAGTGTGGTATCTTCCTCATTTTCCCTTCCCCCTATTTCACCTTATCACCCTCCAAACTCACACCTCTCTGCAAAGGCATATTTTGTTAGCAAAGGAAGGTCCAACAAAGTCCATCTTCCATCCAGCTACAGGGAGAAAAGTCATGGACATTTTTTCTATTGGAGAATCCACCTACTTTTTTTTGTTTAAGATCATTTCAACCAAGCTTTTAAAAGGACAGAGACAACTGTGGAATATATGGTAAGAGAGGGCAGCTGGCAAGTAAATAAAACCTGAAGTTACTGGGCTGTTTAGCCTAGAGAAGATGTAGGAGGTACAGGATGGCTGTCTTTAATTATCTGAACAGTTGTTGGGGGCCAAGGGATTAGATATGTTCTGCTTAGTGCCAGAGGAACAACCTAGGAACAGTGGGTGCCATTGCAGAGAGGCGAATTCTAGCTCTGTGCAAGGCAAAAAATCCTAACAGAGCTGTTTAAACATGGAGTACAGGGTTTTCCTTGGGAAGCAGTGGTTTTGCCCTCACGAAAGATCTACAAGCAATGCCTGGATGAACACTTATTGGATCTCATTGGAAGGGGATCCATTACAGGTGTAAATTGAATTAAGTGACAGTAAAGTCCCTACCAATCCTGAGATCCTAAGATTCTGTGACATTGGTGGACCCTATGAGCAGGTAGATGGTACAATCACCTGGAGTCAGAAAGACTCATCTTCCTGAGTTCAAATGTGACCTCAGACACTTACTAGCTGTATGACCCTGAGTAAGTCACTTAACCCTGTTTGCCTCAGTTTCCTCATTTGTAAAATGAGCCGGAGAAGGAAATGGCAAACCACTCCAGTATCTTTACCAAGAAAATCCCAGAAGGGGTCACAAAGAGTCAGATATGACTGAACCACAATAACAGGAGCAGGTTTACCAAATCAGATTCTCTTCCCTCTTAATGAGGCGCACAATGGATAGAGTCCTGCACCAGTATGACCCTGGGCAAGTCACTTAATCTCTCTTAGCCTCAATTTCCCTATCTGCAAATGGGGATAACAATAGCCCCTACCTCCCAGAGTTATATAGTGAAATTCAAATGAGATTACATGTAAAGTGCTTTGTAGACTTTAAAGTGATATGTAGATGCTAGTTACGATGATAATCATGATCATGCTGAACTTTTATGATCAATGGAGATGTTTTACTCGTTTAGCCAGTTTGACCACATAAGTTATTAGATTCATATATTAAATTAAAAGAGTGACTTTATTCAAACACCAGGAAAAATGAGAATAATATTGCTGATAGAATTCCAATAGAATAAACATCACCATTAGGACACTGATTTGGGATCCAAATCTGTTTTTAATGATTCATTTTTTTTATTTTTATTTTTATTTTATTTTATTTTATTTTTTATTTATTTTATATTTATTTATTTATATTTATATTTATTTATTTTATTAGATTTTTTTTTATAAATTTACTTTGATTTATCAACAATCACTTCCATAAGCTTTTGAGTTTTAAATTTTTCTCTCCCTCCCTCCCCACCTCTTTCCCCAATGCAATTTGATATAGGCTATACATATACATTCCTATTAAACATTTTCACATTAGTGATGTTGTAAGGAAGAATTAGAACCAAAGGAAGGAACCACAAGAAAGAGAAAACAAAACAAAACAGAAGAAAAAAAATAGCAAATAGTATGCTTCAATCTACATTCAGACTCCACAGTTCTTTCTTTGGATGTGGATAGCATTTTCCATCATGAGACCTTTGGAAATGTCTTAGATCCTTGTATTGCTGAGAAAGGCTAAGTCTATCAATGTTAGTCATCATACAGCATGGCTGTTACTATGTAAAATGTTCTCCTGGTTCTGCTCACTTCACTCAGCATCAGTCTATTTTTTATGTTTTTAATGATTCATTTGTTAAAAGAAAAGATATGGTTTTGGTGAAGTTGGTTTCACAGAGAGAATGTCTAACTCATAACCCAGGAACAGAAACTGCTGGTGTAAAGCACCAGAACAGGAGACAGGAGATGCAGAATGGGTGTAGGGGAGGATTTGGGAAGAATTCCCGAGTAAAGGGGAATCTATAGTGTAGCATCATAAACTAGAAGTAACTGAGACGGCATCAGCATATGGGATTACACAACCAGGTTTTAGGAAATACTTTGGACTAAGGGGTGCTTGAATTACCAAGTACCCTGCCAAAGACTGGGAAAAATACCTCACAAAAAGAAATTCAGGGGGCAGCTAGGTGGCGCAGTGGATAGAGCACTGGCCCTGAAGTCAGGAGGACCTGAGTTCAAATCCGGCCTCAGACCAAACACTCGACACTTACTAGCTGTGTGACCCTGAGCAAGTCACTTAACCCCAATTGCCTAAAACAAAACCAAAAAAAACAAAACCAAAAAAAAAAAAAAGAAAGAAATTCAGTAGCATACCAAGACCAAAGGAAATGAAAATGCATATAAGAGCAGAAAATTCTGATCCAAGAGGAACAGCATTTCCTAGTGGTTTGTCTTATGTAAGTCACTTTCCCTTCAAAATGTTAACTAACCCAGCTATAAAATGGGTACTCTAATAATGACATACTATGATGGACTGCTAAAGAGAATAGCAAATGAAAATAATTGTAAAGAGTCTGGTTAATTATAGAGTGCTATTTTATTTAGGAACTGTAGCCTGGTGGGTAGAAGGTTGGCCTGGGAGTTTAGATAAACTTGGGTTCAAATCCCACCTTAGATACATACTGTTTGTATGGTACCCTGGTAAAGTCATTTAATTACTTTAAGTAATTATTGATTACCTTCTATCTATTCTGTGTATAAACTTTAAGTAACTAGTTATTTACATGCTGATTCTCCTTTTAGAACATATATTCCTTGACGGCAAGGGCAACTTTTTACCCTTTTTTGCACTTAGGGGAAGGAGGGGAAAAATAAACATTTATCAGGAGCCTACTACATGCAAGGCACTAAGCATTTTGCAAATATATCATTTAATCCTCATAACAACCCTTTGAAGTAGGTGCTATTATTATCCCCATTTTACAAATGAGGAAATTGAAGCAAAGGTTAAGTGAGTCGCTCGGGGTCACACAGCTAGTAAGTGTCTGAGGCTGGATTTGAACTCAGGTCTTCCTGACTCTAGGATCAATCTGGAAGACTGCCTGACTATTCATTGTCATGGCATCTCTTTAAGACAGGGTGTTTTCTTTTTTAAATAATTTAATTTTTTTCTAATAAAATTTATTTCTCTCTCTTCCACCTTTCCCCCATTGGGGGTGGGGGAAGACAAACCAAATGCTAGTAACAAATATGTACAGTAAAGCAAAACAAATCCCCACATTATCTATGCCAAAAAAACCCCCATATATTGCTGTCTACACCCTAAATTCATCACCTCTTTGTTAGGGGTGGGTAGGATATTTGATCATTGGTCCTATGGAATCATGGTTGGTCACCTCATTGATCAAAGTTCTTATTTCATGAAAGTTGTGTGACTTTGTAGTGTTATTATTGTTGTATAAATTGTTTGGTTTCTGCTTACTTCATTCTGCATCAGTTCATGGGTCTTCCCAGGTTTCTCTGAAATAGACCCTTTCAGCATTTCACATGGAACAATAATATTCCATGACATCCATGTACTATAATTTGTTTAACCATTCACCAATTGATAGGTACCTCCTTAGATTCTAGTTTTTTGTCAATACAAAAAGGTCTGCCACAAATATTTTTGTACATATGGGGCTTTTTCCTCCCTCTTCCATCTCTTTGGTTACTAGATGAATCTGTTATGACATCTTGACCTAGGCATTGTGTAGGGTCTGTTTATTTTTCTATTTATTTTTTTTTATTATAGGTCTAGTAGAATTATCACTGGTTTAAAATATATGTATGCACAGTCAAATGATTGGGGTGGGACAGGGAGGGGTCAAAGAACATTGAGTTTGACATCAAAACACTTGGGTTCAATTTGTACCAATCACTTAATAACTATGTAACTGGGCAAGTCAGTTATGGATCAAGTTAAGTTATTGTTCCACTTTCAGCTTACCTGTCTCTCTCACACCTATCAGTGAGATGTTGGTTATTAATCTGAAAACTTTTGAATTTTTTAAAAAATATTTTGATGACTTTATTTCAATTTAATTGATTTCTTTTTTTTTAATCCTACTTATTACTTATTTATTTTGAGAAGGAATCCATAACTCTTTGCCAGACTTCCATAGAGGTCCATGACACCAAAAAAGGTTAAGAACCCCCTTCTTTAAGATTGTAAGTTGCAGAACTATTGCCAATCTGCACTGGTCAAGGGAATTTCTTCACCACAAGGGAAATGTCTTCACCAGGAGTTCCCTGCCCCAAAGAGGTCATACATCTAGACTTAATGAATTAAAATGTTTAGTCCTTCTAGGTGGTTGTGATTTCGATCCTCAAGGTCTACCCCATTACCTGTCTTCTGTCATTGCCAGTCTATTGAGAATGGTTTGCTCATGTACCTCTTGTTTTTTTTTTTCTTTTCATATATTTCAGGAATAGAACTTTGTCCTCCTGGACATCGGTTCATGATCACAATGGTGGCAAGCTTCATAGCTATGGCAGGACAGTTCCTTATGCCAGGCTTGGCAGCCCTCTGCAGGGATTGGCAGGTCCTCCAGGCTCTCATCATCTGCCCTTTCCTCCTGATGCTTCTCTACTGGTCGTAAGTATTAATTTCTCTCTTCCCAAGGGACAATACCGAATTCCTTTGGGGTAAGGGAAGGAGACCAGATTTACTTCTCTTGTCTGGAGATGAATTTAATATCAACTGACATTGAATATCAACTCAATTTAATAAACATTTATTAAGTGCCTATTGTGTGGCAGACACAATACACATTTATTGAGTGCCCACTACTTGCTGTTGGACATAGTCAACAATAATCATATGGCATAAGGTAGTAGTGTTAAACTCAATAGAAATGGGGACCACTGCAGTTTTCATATTGACTTAGAAAACTGCATATTAATATTATCTGTGTTCTATTGTATTTTTATTCATTTTTTAAAATATTTCCCAATTACATTTTAATCTGATTTGACTGCATTGGAGAGTGTTGCAGGCAGCATGTTTCGACACCCCTGGTGTAAGACATTTTTCTTGCTCTTAAAGAACTTAGAATTTCTCACTAATTTCTGCATTTTCCTGTTGACAGTTTTAAGGGGAATTCAAATGTTTGAGGGAGAAATAGGAGATGGTAAGGAAACAAGCTTTGATGGTGGGAAATCCCTTTTAGTTAGTAGATGAGTCTATTATGATACCTTGTGCTTGGCTTTGTGGAGTCTGTTTATTTTTTTATTTTTTTTATTACTTATTATTTCATTCATACATATACTTTCACTCTTTGGCCTGCTATTTTTGTTTCATTTTGATTCCACTTACCTCTTTCAGTGAAGTGAGAAATGGGGGGGGGGGATTATCTCATCCTCTTCTTACACTCCTTATTCTCCATCCCCTTCACCTTTTATCTCCCCTTTTCTTCTATACTCTATTTAATTCTACTCTTTAATCACTAATAAAAAAAAATCCCCAGAGGATATTAGTTGGTTATGCCTGTATTTTATTTGCTGGAGATGAGAGCCTCCCTTTTCTAAAAGTGAGGGTCTGGAGGAGAGAAGGACCAGGTTTTATTTCTTTTTATTTAGCACTACTGTGTTTTATTTTTAAATCATTGGATGAGCTAGAAAAGGAAATCATAGTAAGCTAGAGTAGAGATGGTTTTTCCTCAAGAGCCTGATTCTTCTTTACTATATAATAAGCAATCTCAGCAACAGTGGCAATCCAGTAATGGGGGGGGGGGTGAGTGCAGATGGGCCACCAGCTGGGGAGGTTGTTCAGCAGCAGCTGCTGCTATGATGTTCTAATCTCCTTAGGGGCCCCCCTCTCTACCCCTTTCCCCACAGACCAAGAAACTGTGCTATGTCTGTACCGTTCTCTCCCAGACTGTGTGCCCCTCCCCACATCCTGCTAAGCTTATTTCAGAGACCATTCTTCCTTCCCTAAGTAGGATGAGTTTTTGTAGCAGGGAACTCTTGACCACATAAAATACTTTTCTAACTTTGACTTGATAAAGTTTATATCCTATTTATGTTTCTCATATCTTGCTTTCAAATACACACAAGTGCAGACACACACTCAGGTTGATTGGAGGGTGTATAAAGAGGTCAGTAAGCCTTTTAGCCCCAAGTGCCACTAACGCTAAGGGCTAGAAAGCAACCAAATAGAAATAGAATAGAAAGGAAGAGAAGAACAACCCAAATATAGTGGTAAATACCATTACCAATTACTTCAGGGACTAAATGTAACTATGCCTGCTCCTGAGTTACAGACTTTATTTGCTTTGTTCGCCTTACATTTATAAGACACCAGGCCCAGTAGACCACCTGATCTACCACAGAGCAGAAGGTTAATGGAGGTGATCTTTTCCTGGCAATTTGAAAAAGGTCTTAACATGGCATCATAAGACCATGGGATCTTTTAGGTCATCTCATTTTACAGATGAGGAAACTGAGGCCCTGAGAGATTAAGTAATTTGTCCAGGGTCACAGAGGGAATAAGTGGTAGAGCTGGGGGGAGCAGTTCTCAAAGAATATCATTGCATCTATATCTTATTCCAGCTCACCTGATGTACCTTATGCTACTTCTTCAGTCTCCAAGAACCAACAATCATGTATATAACTTTGTGGGTTGTCAATAAAATGCATGTAAACCACTAGTGGTTGCTTTCCCTTTTGAGCCCTGAAATGTGTATACAAGACAAAAATGTGACAGGTACTATAAAGATGTGACAAGCACTGTATCTGTCTATGTACATATGTATCTATCTATCTATCATTACTCTATCCCAAATGAATTGATTATTGCGGTTGGCCAGGTAGGTGGCACAATGGATAGAGCGCCAGGCCTGAAGTCAGGAAGACTCATCTTCATGAGCTCAAATCTGGCCTCAGACACTAACTGTATGACCCTGGGCAAGTCATTTAACCCTATTTGCGTCAGTTTCCTCATCTGTAAAATGAGCTTGAGGAGGAAATGGCAAACCTCTCCAGTATCTTTGCCAAGAAAATCCCAAATGGGGTCATGAAGAGTCAGACACAACTGAGATGATGGAGCAGCAACAACAAATGCCTCAGTGGACTAGAAACTAGTCTCATTGGCTAATGGACCTTGATGGTCTCTCCTGTTCTTTCCATCAATTTTAGGCATAGAAGGAAAACTGGCCTACCCAAATACAGGAGAAGTAATGGGAATGAGACTTAAGTGACCCTCCCTAGTTTGCTGTAAGTGAATCAGTCAGCTAGCCAGATTAAGACCTGTGCCTTAGGTGTCCTAACTTGGCCTCTGCCTCATGCCCCTGAGTCTCCCACGCCTCACACTTAAGGAATGTTTGTTCTTTGCTCTCTCATTTTTAAAATGTTGATGACATACCATATGGATGTTCGTTCAGATTGAAACTTTTACTTTAATTCCTTGAAATATTCATGTCTTGGGCAGGTAGGGGCGCAGTGGGTAGAGCACCGGCCCTGGAAACAGGAGGACCTGAGTTCAAATCCAGCCTCAGACACATAATACTTACTGGCTGTGTGACTCTGAGCAAGTCACTTAACCCCAACTGCCTCGCAAAAAAAAAAAAGAAAAAAGAAAGAAAAAAAGAAATATTCACGTCTCATCAATGTGGGTCCTCCATCGATGTTTCATAAAATATCATGGCTGAAAAATTATCATCGAGGAGCTCACCTTTTGGCGATAGACCACTTTGTGTTCAACTAAGCCAATTGTTGGACATCTGTCACCAGGCTAGTGGTCGAAACCTTTTCAGTTTGATAATGACCTGACAAATCTTTGCTTCATCGGCAGGGCCTACAAGAGTCCAGGATTTCTGCCACACCAAAATGAGACATTGGCACATTAAGATAATATTTTTTCTAGTTTCAAACTCCATTCTAACGTAAGAACACTCTTTGGTGGTGAAAAACTGTGTTGATATACATATCTCTTGCCACGAAGAGGGTAGGAAGGGCAAGCTAAAGAGCGAGAGTGAACAATTTCATACCCAGCTACAAACTACTACTTATCCATTTTCAAGGGCCTTGGTAACTAAAAGAACAATTGACCTGTAAAAGCTGCAAAGATCCTCCTTTCTTTTCATTTTTCTAATGACCATCCTTCTTTCTATTTGCTACGATTAGCATTTTCTCATTCCTAAAGACTTCTGTATTATTTAATGGTACAAAGTGGTCTCCTAGAGAGGCTCTGGAGTGCCAACCGACACTGCCAGCTGTTGGTGGCAAAATATTGAGAGTGTATGGCCTCCATTTAATCAACAAGTATTCATTGCATGCCCATGGTGCCCAGCAGTGTACCTGGTACTTCAAGTGCAAATTAAAACACACACACACACACACACACAGATATGGGCTCTGCCCTAAAGAATGCTTACAATCAAATGACAAAGATAATAATAGTTCCCATTTCTGTAACCATTTAAGGTTTAAAAAAAAAACATTTTACTCACAAAAGTCCTATAACTAGTCCCATTTTGTAGGTGAGGAAATTGAGGCTCACACATGATAAGTGGTTTGCCCATAGTCACACACTAAGTGAAAGCTAGTATGTGAACTCAGATCTCCTGACTCTGGGGCCAGTGCATTTTCCATTTTAGCACACTCCCAAGGCAGCCAACCAATCAACAGAATCATAAGAGTGCAAAAAGTACCAAGTAAAGTTGTTTGTTGCATATGGGGGCAGCAGGAGCAAAGACTTGGCAGTGAAAGGTGAGAAGACAGGTTTGTTTTGTGTTAAGATCGGTAGTGAAATGAGAAATCCACCCTTGCTGGAATGATGCTGGAGAAAAGTAGGAGAAGAGCATACAGGAATAGCAAGGGTAAAGGGTCGGGGACTTTGAAGATAGCAGTCCAAAGTTTCTAAATGATTAGGAAGGCAATGAAAAGCCACCACAGAGAGCAGAGTAGCATTCTGATAATAAGAGCCATTGGAAAATAGCATCAGTTACAGAGTATAAAATGTTTTGGAGTGGAAAGAGGGGAGGGATTAAAAATCCAGGCAGAAAGAGGTTACAGAAACATGGATGAAAATTGTCCAGGGATTTGTGGGTGGGTGCAGAAAGCAATGGGTGGGTCCTAGTGATGTTTTTAGAGCAGGTTCACAGAATGCATGGTTTCCATAGCAACAAATTCTGTCAAGAAATTTGCTGAGTTCAATATATGGGATCAATGAAAGAAAACAAGCAGCTAGGGAAATTGATGTCTCCTATTTCAGGTGTGTTAGACTATTAATTGCCTTCTCCTGGATTCCAAATAGGAGGTGTGACTTCAGAAATGGAGCAGCCTATTTAAGTATGTGCCTATTGTCTCCATCTCTTTTGTTCAAAGAGAACCGCAGACATATCCTCGCTAGTGGCTTGGTATCACCATATGCCTTATAGTGTTTAATATAGCTCTCTGGCTAAGTTAATAGGAACAGAGGAGAAAAGAAAGCACGGGTGATAAGCAAGTGTTTTTCAACTAGATTTGAAAACATACCAAAGATGGGTATTTGGTCTCTAAAGCCAAGTGTTTCTACTTTGGTTTTGGCATATTGGATGACTTTGTTATCTCATTGCATCTATGTTTATTTTTGTTTGGGAAGAGGCCAACGTTTTA